CATTAATGCTGTAGGGTGTACTGGGAGGGGTGGAGGATTTCATGTTTGTAATGACTGGTTGTAATGCGGTATCTCGTTGTTTTCAAGATGCAGCCTGATATTTGTTGCTTTCTTGATTGTTCAATTGTGGCTAAAACCCTGCAGCTTGAAATGGTATGGTCCAAATCCAAATTCGATATGGTGGTGTTGAACATCTGTGCGATATGGCAGTGTCGTCTAAAAACCACGCATCAAAATGATTTCTGTTTATTTATTTACTGTTGTAGATCCTGATGACTAGCCATTGAATATGATGTCTGGAATAAATGGTTTTCTGAACAAGCTTTATTAATTATTGCTGGCAATATTCCAGTATGAATTGGGAGCAAACTGACACCAAATCTAGTCGTATTGCTATGCTTCTAAAATATTTTTTTTTTAAATAAAATAAATTAAATAGAAATATTATGTGTATTTTTGTATGTGGAAACATGGCTTGCCCACTAAAAAATATAATGAAGTATGGTCTGCAATTTTTTTTTTTAAATTGTTTGATTTGTGAAAAAAACTCGAGTGTAAACAATCAAACACTCACAGTGCAAGGCTAGTTCACCAACATGTCTATTCTCTGACTTGAGTGTGAAAGTACATGGTTTAGTGACTACCTCTTATATTTTTAAATTTTAGAATTTTTTTTATTTGGGAAGGTTCTTCTATAAAAATAGAACAGATTATATATATATATATATATATATAAACTTCAGAGCGTCACAAACGTGAATAACACGAGTGTCACACGAGTCAGTAAATGGCGGGGAACTTAGCACGTGGTTATGAACCATTAAGCCGTACCCATTCCAAGGCAAGTAAGCGGTACCAGTCTTTATATACAGTACTTGTATTTTCACGGACTTAGAATGGAATTAACTTTGTATTCCATGGCATGGAAGTCATATAGTGATGATAGAAGACATGACATTGATATATTTTATTCAGACCCCGTTTTTGAAAATGATTGTTTTGTAAACTCTAAACACATAACGCAAGAAGTTACTTGATTTTTGCAGAAACGAAACGCACTTTCCATTCTGTTACATATATGCTTATAAGGTTTGGGCAGATTATTCCGCGAAAATAAACAACGGTACATAATAGCGTTACAAGTAATGCTACAACGACGCTGAAACGAAGCAACATGAAGCGAACGCAACTGAAAACTGACATGACACGGATGCCTTTGTAGTGAGCGAACCTGCTGCTGTGGCAAAAGTAGGCAAAGCTGTATTATTTTTGACTTGGGAGGTTTCAAATTGCCACTTAACGTATATGATTATAACATGCAATTCATTATGTGAAAAAAAGAGTATGATTAAACTCGTTTTAAAGTTATCTCTTTGAAACGAGTTTGACAGAGAGCAGAAAAAAGACGTCCGTGCTTACCATTTTTTAAAATTCGTCTGTGAAAAATATATGTAAATTGTGATCACCTGCCCAGTTGAATTCACACCTGGCTTAACAGAGCTGAGTTATCTGATCGGTCATTGGCTTAACAGAGCTGAGTTATCTGATCGGACATTGGCTTAACAGAGCTGAGTTATCTGATCGGTCATTGGATGACACCTCAAGTGGCATCTCTATGTGGACAATGACATCGCGAGTTCTCAGTAAGTTGGCAATCGTCAGTATTTAAAACTTAAATATGTTGTTTCGATGGGTGTGGTAATGTGGAATGCCGGACGTTTCGACCCCGGACGTTTCGGCCAAGAGTTTCGACCGGGCGGACGTTTCGGCCCATGGCTCTCTTCTGTAAAATAACCGATTTTCAGTATTTGAAATTAGCGTTACAAGTAATGTTGCCGACATTAATGAGGGCATACAGAAATATCTCCAAATCAGATCAAGTGAACAGTGGTGGTAAACGCAGTATAGGTTTGTTTAAAAATATTCGGATTATTCTGGAGTGGAAAATAGTGATTTTTTTGGCCAGTAGAGGAAACACATTGAGTGACATGCCTTTTTACATGGGCATTTAGATATCCATTGTTTTTTAATTGTATTTGAGAGTCCATATAAAACTAATAAATAAATAAATGAATAAATAGAAGAAATATATGTAAAGAGATCGTCAAAGGTGATTGACATAAAACATTTAACACATAGTCTATTACGTGATGTCGGCCTTGATATTAATATTGTTGTTTATTTGGATGAGAATGAAGGCTTTTTCATGTTATTTTCTCTAATTTTGAAACATTCGTATATGTATTTAGCTAGTTTTATAATTGTTTTATTTTCAATGTTGTTCATCATAGCTATAATTTTTTCTTCATCTGTCGTGTTTGGGAGTGACATTTTTGACTTAGTGTGAAGTTGGTTTCTTTCATTTTCATTATTTTTGCAATTAAGCAGAAAATGTTTTTCATCCTCAATTTCGTCTAGGTCACACACAGGGTATTTCCTTTTGCATGCATCTTTTTTATTGTAGCGACCCATTTCTATTTGTAGAACATGAGCACTAATTCTTAATTTTGTTAGTGCTGATCTATGTTTAGAGTCTTTTATTACTGAAAGATACTCCTCATATGAGCAGTCATTTTATAACATTCTGTATGTGCGCAATTTGTTTTTTGGGTTTTTCCCTTGTTGTCATCCCGCATTTTTTCTTGACTGTTAATTTTGAATATTTTTCGGAGATTGTCCATAACGTTTTTTGTTATCGAGGCAGCATTATGCAGATGTTAGTTCTCCCACACATTGTTTTTTATTTACATATTTTAGTATGCTTTCACACCAGTTACCCAGTTAGGTGTATTGTTTTTGTCAAGCTCCATTCCAAGTTGATATGCTTCATGAACTAGAGTATTTTCATTTTAATTTTTTGCCAATAATTTATTAAGTGCTTTATGCTCGTTAGAAGTAGTAAGTGTATTACGTGATGTCGGCATACAGTTGTTTACAGAACTTTTTAGTGTGTTACGTGATGTCGGCATACAGTTGTTTACAGAACTTTTTAGTGTATTACGTGATGTCGGCATACAGTTGTTTACAGAACTTTTTAGTGTATTACGTGATGTAGGCATGCAGTTGTTTACAGAACTTTTTAGTGTATTACGTGATGTCGGCATACAGTTGTTTATGGAACTTTTTAGTGTATTACGTGATGTAGGCATGCAGTTGTTTACAGAACTTTTTAGTGTATTACGTGATGTCGGCATACAGTTGTTTATGGAACTTTTTAGTGTATTACGTGATGTCGGCATATAGTTGTTTATAGAACTTTTTAGTGTATTACGTGATGTCGGCATTTTGAATATTTTTCGGAGATTGTCCATAACCTTTTTTGTTATCGAGGCAGCATTATGCAGATGTTAGTTCTCCCACACATTGTTTTTTATTTACATATTTT